AGGCACTAGTGCAAAGGCCGTGCATTCAGAACAGCCATTTTGCAGGCACTAGAAATAAGGCCATGCACATGGAACCACAGTTTTGTAGGGGCTAGAGCTAAGGGCGTATATTCAAGACTGGCATTTTGCAGACGATAGAACACTATGGCTGTGCATTTACAACCGCCATTTTGCAGACTGTGCATAAAGCTTCCTTTTTCAGGGTCGACCAAATTGAAATTAGATTTGGAGCACTCTTCAGTATTTTATTAATTTCTGTTTTTGGTGTTGATAATAAGGAGAAGTTAACACAAATTTCATTGAACTTCTTTTTCCTTAAAAAGAATACCGAGTCATAAGCACCAGCAAAAATTAAGCACAATTTCTTTTTCAAGGGGGTGGGCCTGCCAGTTGAACTACAGTGTAGAAAGACTTCTAGAACAAAGTAAAAAGTATTGTACATGAGATACCCAGCATCTGCTGGCTGAACCTGACAAATAACATCACAGAATCACCCTGGTTTCAGTGACAATGCTATAATGGAGCTTACACAGAACTAACAATGTTCTAACTAGAGCCATCAAGCCAAATCAGCTGACTTCAACTTGAGGCCCATGCTCCTTGACATCACGCCAAGCCGCCGTTCTAACGGATCATGAACAGTGTCCCCTGTGGCCTTCGCTATACTGAATCACACCAACCTTGGCCTCACTTAATAAAAAGATTTTTTTTCCGAACCAATATCAAACAATATAATATTAGTGCTAACCTATACCAAGGCACGGTTTTTGCATTATTATTATTATAAATCGATCACAAGGTACTAGTACATAAATGTTAGGCTAACAATACATACAGCATGTTGTCAATGAAAATAAGCAGCAGGCGTATTACAGAAAAAAAAACACAAATATAGTTTCCTTAATAGAAAATTAAAACCCTGCTGTGTAGTTTTATATTTATGTTTATTTTTTCTCTTTAACTCTTTAGTGTTGGTTTTTTAGTTCACTTTCTTTTTTCACTTTACTTTTCTTTTATTCTTTTTACTTGTGATCCCGGTGCTGTATCACTGAAAGTGTAATCACACACAAAAAATAAATAAATAAAATATAAAAAAAATAATATAATAAATAAATAAATAAAAAAATAAAATATAATGTATTTTTTTGTACATTGTAGTTTTTTTATGTTTATTAGGTCAGGTTTCCAGTGACTAAAGCATTTCCCACATAGAATAAAACCACTGTAGTAGTAGGTTACAAGTAGAAAAAGCAAATGTAATAAATGAAAATTTTCTGAGAATTTACATGGCTAGTGAACATTAATAATAAAACTTTCAGTACATCTTGTATGAAAGTATGGTTCTGAGAAAAACCACTGATTATTTCCCTCAATTTTCAGTGACAATATAAATAGAAGAATGATGACACTCAGACCTCAATGAAACTGCGAGAAAAGAAATTTGTGGTTCTTCTTTAAATTATTATATTCACATGGGGTACTGCAAGTTTACTTATAATTAATAAATAAGTTGAATATTATATCCATCATTTTTAATGTTATGTAACTAGAATGTAATTAAGAATAACCTACATTTTGATATGTCAATAATCAGTTTATTCAAAAAAGAAATAAAGGAATACTGTACATGTAAAAAAAATAAGTCAATGTTCATTAAAACCATTTGGAAAACTTAACACTTAACAAAATTATTAAAAGGTAAATAACAAGTTTAATACTAAAACATTATTAGGAAATTAATTAATTAATTATTAGGAACATTATTAAAAGAAATTCCATTTTGTTTAAAAGAGCCAAATATACAATTAAAATAAACTTTGTTGTTAATTAAAAAAGTTTATTGCATCATAATTCTTCAATTCTTTAAAATTATTAAACACATTTATAAAAAAAAAAATCAATTTGTTTTAAATATATTGCACCTCAAAAGAGTTAAGAAAGTATAATACATACTCCAAGTATTGAAATACACGCCATCGTGTTGGGATTCAATATTTCGACATTAATTATGTCATCATCAGGAATGAAAAAATTATCCATATTAGCAAGCTTATATGCACTAGTACCAAAAGTGTTTAACCAATCAAAACATTACCTCTAGTAGGTGACATAGCAGTGATTTAAACAAAAGATTGAAGCATTCTTACTCTTATAATGATCAAAGATACCTACAAAAACAAAGAAAGCTCTTTTGAAGCTCTGAGCCCATTGTTAAGCAAAGGGTGTAGTCTACGTATAGCGAACGCTTCTTTAAACAATAGGATAGACCAGTTGAAAGTTTGAAGTTTTTCGGAAAAGTACTCGAAATATGGCGGAAAGTCAAAAATTTGCACTAAGAGCTCAACTTATTTTTCATGGATTTTTCACACGGAATCTGTTCATGGAGGGATGTTTTGGTTGGGGATTTTTAAGTAGTTTGAGTGTATAAATCTCAATCTAATATAAATTACCAGACTGTGATTAAGATTAAATCATACTTAATCGTAAGTAATATTATGGAGGACACATGTGTTTAAATTTTTGAATGTGTTTTTAAGAGAAATTAAGATAAAAAAACTTCATTTCAAAACTGTATAAATCATAATTTTATATTTTTTAACAATTTATTATCCTATTTCCCACCCCTTCCTCATTATTTTTAATTCTAATTATGATCATATTATCACTACAACATTTAAAACTTTTTTTTGTAATAAACTAAAAATGACAACAGAATTGTAATATGTACTTTAATTAATATTATAATTCATTATTATTGCTCGGAAAAGACTGTTATATTCCAGAATATTAGCGCATGTTAATCTTGAGCTATATATTATGTACTGTAGCAATTGTAAAGTTTAACCAAATACAGTAGTACAAAATGGGTAATATATTGAAATACTGTATACATTATTACTCCGTGGTTCTTAGATCAATGTACAGTATTGTTATTATTCAACCTTAGTTATTGTAAATAATTTAAAGGACAGCTAATTACTACTAAATTAGAAGAATTTAACCAAATTAATTAAATATAAACTAATTACAAATTTAGGCTTGATTGCACAATCAAATTTATTTACAATTATATCAGTTAGCATATGATATGTGTATATGCTATTTAGAAATGACTCATTTGCGATACGGTTCAGAAATGATCAATTTTTCGATTTTGGAATTGCAACCAAGTATGAAGCCTGTTTATCGGATAGCAGCGCTCGCGTGCCAGTAATGGCATGGAAGCAAGTAGCGACAAATCAAATTACGGTGTAGTCATTCATATGATTATTAGGGCACTGGCAATGGATCACAACAAATATGACAGTTGTAAATAATTAGAACATGAAAAGGAGTCAACCGTTGCGCTCGATGTGTATTTGTCATTCACTTAAACAAGTTTTCTTCTGCAATTCCCACTCTGACGATGCCACTGGAGTTTGCGAAACATGTTTTGTTTCAACAATGTCGGACCATAATGGCAAATACGTAGCCATTCAGACTTTGCCTACATTACTTTAAAAAGTGATATGATTTAAAAAATTTATTTATGGAGTAATTGTCTGCTATTCTGTTTTATATTGTACATTTTACATCAATTGCAAAATTATCATTTTACCTGCTATTTTAGTATTTTTAATAATTTATTAAATTAAATATTATTATAAGTTTTTTTCCACGAGCCAAAAAAAAAAAAAATGAAATTTATTTTACCGTAGGTATTACGAAACTATACAAATTTAGAACCCAAATAAAATTTGTTTCAATCCCATGGGTGAAAGGAATTTTTCATGGGCATCTAAAATAAACTAAAAAATTGAAATGAAAGTATTTAAAGCCTAGATCCTAAAAAAAATAAATAAATAAACCTGGAAACATATGACAGAAATACTACACAAAGCCCAGTATTGTATATGAATGTACAATATACAGTAGTTAAATTTATAAACATTTCATACCGATATCGATATCTTTAAGCGGTTGAGGTAGGTGTATTAGCTTGTAGAGTGCCAGATAAAATTCTTGCACTGTTCTACCCAGAATTGAAAAGGTGACAATTTCATTTTAAATGTTTAAATGTTTTATTAGAATTTTGTTTGGCTAGGACTAGATGTGATGAAACTATAGGTATGTTGACATAACAAACCCTTTGCAGTTTCCTAAAGCACCTACTGTAGGGCTAGGCTAGTCTTTGAACTATGGCGTTTGAGGCAAGGTTTAAAAAACTGAAAAGGGGAAGTTAATTGACTTATGATTATGGTAATGTTAAATATGTTTATAATGTTGAGAAATAGTGTAAAATGTAAATGTGTTATTGGATTAGGGATTAGGTGATGTTGAGAATTATAGAGATGTCAAATATGTTGAAAATTATGATAATGTTAACTATGTTGAGGATTATGGTAATTTTGAGGATTATGGTGATATTGGAGATTATAGTGATGTCAAATATGTTGAAGATTATGACCTTGTTAACTATGTTGAAGTCAACTACATGTTGCAGATTACAGAATGTCAACTATGTTGAAGATTATGACGATTTTGAGGATTATGATATATGTTTGAGATTATAGTATTAGGATTATAGGAATTAGAACTATGTTGGGGATTAAGATGATGTCCACTATGTTCAGGATTATGGTGATGAGATCTATGCTAAGAACTATACTGATGTTAAATATGTTGAGGATTATAGTAATGTCGACTATGTTTTGAAAATAATGATGAATGTTGAATATCTTGGGAGCTCAAACTATGTTGGGGATTATGTTGGAAATAACAAATAGTATATGTGGAAATTGTTGTGATTGTTTTAGTGATGAGTGTTATTCATTACAACATCACCGCCATGCAATAACAACAATTAATGTATTTCATTTTACATTAATGGATCAGAATTGTTATGACACTACTACTGTAAAACATACATTTAAAAATCTGTTAATTATTAAGGATATTCATTAGTAATGCCTGTAAGTGTTTCTTTGATAAATTAAAAAGAATTGATTATGCAGCAGCAGTTACTTGCTGTTGACAAATTACATAGAGTAATTTGATATAGGGAAATGTAAATTCTTATTTCAAACAGATAAGCAGCTGACTCTTAAGTTAGCGCCACACCCAGTTTAACGAAGTTTACTTTCTTATAAAACTCACTCACCTTCCTCTTCTTGTCACCCCAAATTCTTTCTGAAAAATCAAAGGTTTGGATATTAAGTGAAGGTAAGATCTAATAAGTAAATGTACTTTTCTGCAATGAGAAATGTTCTTAATAATTTAGGGATTAGCAGAAACAAACAGAACGGCAATACTTAAAATCATTAGAGGAAATAGAATTAGTACTGTAATGATGCTAATGTAAGCTAAAGCAAACCTATGCATCCTATCCAAAATTGAGGAAGAGGGATATGGTTTGATTCAACAATTTGTAAATCAACATGAACATTTAGATAAGGCCAAGAAAAAAAAAATTAAATTGCTGGTGACATTTGAAATAAGCGTCAGATGGTTGGAAATGTTCTTTTTCCTATGTTGTTTTTCCTTTACTATAACTAGTTGGTCAATATGGCCTAATTATAGAGTTTACTGGCCAGCATAACTTATCCCTATGCCTATTGGTTGTAAAATGGTAACTACACAGGGCTAAAATCCATGATTTAGGCATCACAATTATTTAGGGAAGTGCTCACAGACAGCAGAGATGGATTCATTGGCCAATGGTCTCACGACCGACGTAAACAAAGGGGACTCAATTAAGGATAAGCCACTTTAGGAAGATCTGGCTTCAATGGGACTATTTTGCTGCACACAATATTCATATTTATTTAGATTTGGGAAGACAAATACTAGTTAAGCAAATATAGGCAAACATTATAAACGGGAGATGAGTTCGATTTTGAGGCATTTTGCTTGCTCATGGGTGATGTGGGAGAACTTGCTGATTTATAGAGGACTGTCGAGAGACTTATGGGAGACTTGTGACCCCTTTTAATCAAAACATAATTTTTCTAAGACCGAGGTATACTGTAGGGTCTACAAGCGATACTACATTAGTAATTTAGTTATCAAGAGTTGGGATAAGCTCTGGTATAATAGTTGCTTACAGATTTAGCTTGCTTGATTGCAACACTTCAATTTGCACAACAGTTGAGCATTTAAATTTGCATTTTTATTTTTGTTTCAAGTGTGCTTTGCATATCTTATATTGTTGCAAATATCATTTTTTCTATCAAATTCATGTGATGGGAGCATCGTTTTGCTATTATAATATGGTATGGTCTGTTGCAGATATGTTTCAGAACATGAATAAATCAATTTTGCAAATGAAGTAAAATGACACTGAATCTGTACTCAATGCATGATCATTATCATATATGTCATTACATATTTATCAAGTATACTGGCCAAAGTGCAATCATGGTGTACACATCTGTGGGGCATTGTTTTGTTGTTATGTTATGTTAATTCTTAAATTATGCAACTCATTAAAATAGTACACGACACCAATAATGAACCAACCAAACAGTCTTCATGAAACAGAAGGTTAAAGTTGAGATTATTTCCAATCAATAAATCAATCAATATATTTATCTATCAATCAATCAAAGAGTTGTAAAAATTGTAGTCATATCCATCAGTATTTTCAAAGAAAATTGACAAATATTCAAAAAAATTGAAAGATTTAATACATTAAAAAATATTCCATAGTACTGTAAATGTTTCTAAATGTGTTTATTCAATAAATGGTGAGAGCATACAAACATTTCAACTAACATGAGCAGATCATTTTAAAATAAGTGCAAATATATTACATAAAACTACATTAATACACAAAAAAATAAATAGGCCACAATAATCACCAACTGCAAACATTCATAAAAGGATTGGGAAAAAAAATTTTTGTACCTCTGACCATACTGTAAAAGTTGCCTCAAAGAAAATGCCACCAACACCAAATGCAATCTGTGCACTATAGAGCCCTTGAACAGTTTATTTTTTGGAATTTTTTACCTCAAAAATTCATCCAGGACATGTGGCCTCCTACTGCCGGTCGCGCAGTTGTGCACTTTTTTCCAGCCATGCATAAAACCAATGCAAAACACTCCACGCATAGAGACCCCGAAATTATGCGCCTAACCTCAATACATATGCATATAATTTGGATTTTTTTCCAGATTTTTACCCAAGAAAACTACGCATGCAGTACTCTGACCAACCATTAAGAGGTTGCTAATAGACACTCGTAGACATTTACGCTACGGTAATCCATCCTCGGGAATAATAACGATTTTATTGTTTTATCACCAAAACATGATGATTATGGTAACCGATCGCTAAGCATCAGATCATTATGTATTACTAAGTAGACGCGCAAATCGTGTCCATGGTCTACGAGTGTTAAAATATCATACAGATCTGTTTGACAGGGAATGGAATACTCTGTAGCCATTTGCACAGAATTTAACACCTACAGTACATTCAAAATACTGATAAACAGTGCAGATACAGCAAGTACACCAAGTTATTTTGCAATGATATAATGATATAATTGTAATAAAAATATGGAGGAAAGTTAACCAATCCACATTTAACCGTTTTTTGAATATTTGCAGACAAATAAGGTGCAAACACAAGTAAAACAGTTATTGTGCAATGAAGTACAATACAGAGAAAAATTTTTCTATTTCTATTTATGAATGAAATTTAGGAGCAAAATAAAATTTATAATAAATAATTGTAACTCGTCACTATGTCTGATCAGCCATAATGATCTATAAAATCATAACTCACAGGCATGGTAATAATATCTATAATTCAAATCATGAGCCAAAACATAATGGACTATGCTAAATGACTAATACATATAGGTGAAATATATCACTTGTGTGATTTATGCTAGCTTTATTAGGTGTGTAAAGGGAACATTAGCTGTTCTATGTGGTGGTGTTAAATGTCTCTCTTGGCCGATTCGGCTCCTTATAAAGCCATTAGCCTTAGGACCAGTTTTGATATTACACTGTATAATATATAGTCAGTAATTCTAGAGTCTAGATACCATTTAACACCAGCATAAAGTGCTATACAGTATTGAGTATAATTGAGTATTGAGTGTAATAATAATATGCTTATGGTCGTTCGCTCCTCCACTCGCCCCATGAAGCTAGCATAAATCGCAGATAAAAGTGAATAAAGTGTTTAAGTTTTGCTGTCTCAAGAGTAATACATGAGTGATACTGAATCATGCATTGCAACTATCTCAACTGAAATAAACTATCGCAAATTATTACAAGCGGAGTGCTCAATGGTAGACCAGAGTGGATATAAATAAATAAAAAGCGAGGTTCAACAGTAGGCAATTTTATCTGAAGGGTGTCACACAACTAAACTAACTAAACTTTTACTTTTCTCAAAATCTTAATTTACTGTCCAATGAACAGCCTTTTGGTTTATAATAAACAATATTATCAAAATTAGTAATTAACATTATAATTCTAAAGAATATGCACAATAAATGGTACTTGTACTAAATCATTTGCTTGTCATCTCAGTACGGATATAATTTACAAATTTTAACAAAATCGAGCCAAATTGTATATTACTGTATTGTGTAAATATATAAACTAGATAGTTTTTTTTTTTAAACTTTAAAGCTAGGACTTAAGTATAGACTTATGTCTTGGCAAAAAAAGCCTCAACTTGGCCAGGAGTCAAGGTCATAGAGGAAACACTTCAAAACCATATGAATGAGTACTAAACAATGAAAGAAGACTTTATTGTTTAAGGATGTTGTAGAAAATATTAAACAAGTTTAGCTATTTATAGGATGTAGTCCATAATAGAATTCGGCGTCTATGTTTTGTAAGTTTTCACTTTTATTAAAGGGCATTTTTGTTTGTCAATCCCCCTATTTGATATCAATGAACTGGGTAAATTTACTTTAGTCTTCAAAGGGTTGTGTGTTTCTACTGGGTATTTATAATACAATGCCTTGAATAATTGCCAATACAGTATTCTGAAACAAGGGCTCACAAATTGGAAGAAGCTACTATGAGTTTAATGAGCTTCCTTTCACACATCATCTTGTATTTTGCTGCACAAACGTTCTGAATTTCTAAAAGAGGTTAATTATTCTGTTTTACTCTCGGAAGTGAGCTTGATACAATATAAAAGAGTACTGAAATATTAGAATAACTTTAAAAAATTTTATATCAATATATGAACTTCTTACTTTGTCTATAAGTTAGAAATTTGTAATTTTGAATGAAAAATTAGAATGAAAAAGATCCTCATAAATTAACAATATGTATTAAAATAATAATCAGCTTTATTCAAAATCCTATTACAGTAGTCAAATCAAATTTGAAATGCAGATATTCATTCTTTTGCAGACCTTTAAATTAAAAAGGTAATCAATCAATTTTGGTAGTAAAATGTAATAAAAATTTAAAAAATATTTTCAATTTAACAATAACAACAGTGTAATGTAGTTAGGTTTATATAGCCCCCTTTATACTGAAATCTCAAAGGGCTTGAGTCTTGGACTCTTGCATGTGGTATCAATAATAAATAATATTTAATAACAATAATAATTAATCCATAAAAAAAACATGACAGTTAGAAATACTGAAGAAGCAACTGACAGTATTGACGAGGTTGAAAGAAATCCTGACCACAGACAAGACCTAGTGGACAGCTAGATTTCCTAAGAAGATATAGGCCGTCGGAAATGGCTTAATTGACCAATCAAATCTTGTTAACGGTAATAAACATGCCACCAAGATGTCTAAACTAAAGATTATTTCAATGTCAGATGGAATATTCATGAGTGATGTGCATAAAAACAGACTGACAAGTTGTTTATATATAAATTTAAGATTTTTTTTATTCTTAAGAAACCACCATAAAATATAAATATAAAATACAAAGAAAATATATTTTAAAAACTTAAATGTATCTATAGAATATCTTTCGAAATTGTATTTTTTCTTTCCTAAATTCTTATTTTTTAGTTGAATAAGATAAGGTTTGAACCGACCCTTAAATCAAAATTGCAGCACTTTCAATTATGGTATTATATCCTATTTATCATAGATAAAATAATCCTTTCTGATGACTTGCGTCTTCCAAATTACATCAAATTATTAATATTATAATTATCCCGCAAAATGTCATAACTAGTACATGTACTTACCCAAATTTCATTACGCAACTCGGAACACGAACATGACGTAAAATCCATAACAAAGTATTAACAGAACACACTGTAATGCTCATAGCAGCCAAAATGGAACGCGCTACCTGTTCTAATCACTAGGAATGGTCATCTATTACTGCTGGTAGCTTCAGTTAAGTTTTACAGTTTCTAGCCACATTGAAATAAGGTTTATAACGTGAACCTGCTATTTAAATCCAGAGAGTGGCTTACCGACACTTTAAGTGCATTACAGATGAGGTAACATGTGCAGTATCACCTCATCACATTAATCGTATGTGAGGCCAACGAGATGTGCATACACATCAGCAGCAAGCCACGCTACTATCTTCTGTCGGTCACTGAAACAACGGTGAATGCCATTAAACGTTAATCACAATTATATCTAACATAAACAAATGACGAAAACTTAACATCAGCATCAAGTGGATATGAAGGTCTTTGTTTTGTCCTTCTAACAACAGAAGTTATTGTAGTAGACAGCTTGGTATAAACTCTACAATTTTGTTGGTACATTCTACTGAATTATCTTTTTTGAAAATCCTTTTCATATCCATAAAACTATTTATATTTTACTGAGGCACTGTCATTTTATTTTTATGAGGCATAAATCTTGATTGTTACTACCATAGGTTCTTCTTAATTTCTATTCCTCTTATGGTTTAATCGCAAGATAGACTTTATGTCTAGGTTGTATGATGTAGGCCAAATCTTGTTGACAATTTGTCTTGGTACAAGTAGAAGCAAGGTTTTCACGTTCACAATTTTTTTGCTGCCCGATACTCTGTGGAATCATCAATTAATGAAAAGAACGCAGACACATGGTCTGCCCTTTTTATCAGGCAAAACCTTTTTTTTTACCTTGTTTTGCGAACTCTACTTTATGAAAGATGTTCAGAGAAGGGGAGGTAAAAAAATAAATCTTGGCAGAAATAAAAGAAAATTTTAGTGAGGAATACAAAAATGGGAGTGCATGATTAATTGAAGCTCTTGCTTGTCATTCCATCACATTCTCAAGAATGTGACAGTGATTATCTGATAAATGATTTACATTTTGTTTATCTGAAGTAAAAAATGTTAGCAAGTGATTTAAATGAGGTGGGTGTACGTAATACAAATAAATAAATTTTTCTCTGAAATTTCCAGTTTGCTTTTAGAGCAGCGGGTGCCAAATAATATACAATTTTTATTTGAAATATTCAGCAGGTGGCATATACTGCGAAATATTGTACAATATACTGTAACTCATGGCAAGTGATAAATTTTTTTTCTCTTTCGCATAAATTAATCGATTAATTTGTCAATTGATTGATTGTTTAGTTTATTCATTTTAAATCACCAATTTAATGGCCAATCCATTGGTATGAAATACAGTTATACTGTACGTTCTTGACCACCAATTATGTAAATATTTCATTCAGTAATATCGACGGTTCCACTATTTGTAGGGGTGTTCATTAGAGAGAAATAAAACATACAGCAAGTATCCTGACTAGACAGGCTTACAGTAGGCCTACAGAGAGTAAATAACAGATGTAAAAGTAAAAGTAGAATATACAGCCTATGTAGACAGAAGATGAAAATTAAAGAATTTGGCATGGTTAAAAAATACTGTGCTATATGTAGAAAATCTGGGAAAGACCTTAAATTTAATATTGAGTCTTATTTAAAAGGAGCATCAAGTTATCAATTTCATTAGAAACAGAAACAACTTATTTTTTGCTGATTTTACTATGAAAATCCTGCAGTAATTGCAATCAATTTAATAGTTCAATGCAAAAAGTAGGAAAGTTATTTCATATCCTGTTTATTGGCGAAGAACATACTTTCTGTTTTCAACTTCAATTGAAAGCTAATTCTTAATTACTAATTAATTATTAAGTAAGCAATTAATTAGTTTAACAGACATTTTCTTAACTATAAAGGAAATTTATATAAAATACAAACTACTAAAGAAACTGGTGCATTACATAAGCAAAGACGAAGTGGATCAAACGTGATGAAAAAATTAAGTAATTTGAAAATAAAAATGATTTTTAACAATGTTCCACCAAACCAGAACACAAAATGTACGAGAACGTATTAACCATTCAATGATGTTAATCTTAAAACAAATCTACACAAATACCATAAACACATTAAACATTATTATAATTATTTAACAATAATAAAATCAACAAAATGTAAAACTTGGTGCAAATTGGTCACAGTGCAACAAACAACTTCACATTGAAAAAGAAACAAATAAATCTATCATGAGGTTCAGTAGCCAACATGGCAACCAACCTCAACACACATGTAAATACTGAAGCTAACAAAATTCATTATTCAGAAATCAATGAAACATCCAAATCGACAATACATACCATTAAATGGAAGCTAGCTGAGGGCTATACAGTAAAAAAGCAAAAGATAATCATTATTAAGTACACTGATCAATTTATTTATTGAAGTTTTCTGCTGAATTACAAACATTTTACTAAAAAAATTGTTAAATTGAATTTAACACCAGCCAATTTATGGGTCTATGCAAATGAAAACAAGAAATGTATCATTTAAATGTCAACTAATGGAAGTGTATGTTAATAACTTACTTAAATATAAAATTATTACAAATACGGATTTAAATTTTTCAATTTGTTAGCTCATGACAAACAATACAGGCTTTACTGTACATCTTTAAGTATTGCATCAGGATTTGAATATTGAAAAGCAAATACATGTTTACATAATACAAGTATGAGTCACTCAAACAATTTTCTTCTTCTAAATTTGGTGACATTAAATGAACTTTATACAAGCAGAAAATCTCTAGTTGAAACATGTTAGTTATGATTTAATTAAATACATATATATTTTTTATTCCATCGTTCAATCATTATTTAATATAAAGACCACCAGCCCAATAAGATATTTCATAATTAAAATTAAGGTCAGCTAAAGTACAGTATAAACAACATAATTATAAACTTATTTAATTTTTGCTGGTCATTATTGTTTATAATAAAAGTAAATTTTCAATCATCAACTCTAAAAGGAACACTTAGAGTGTACTTTACTGTACTACTCTTCAATTAAAAAAAATACCAAAAAACATTTAAATTTTAAAACAGTAAAATTAATATGAAAAAATCAGATGTTAAAAGCAACTAATTATGCCACCTGTTTAACATACTGAAACACACACCTGTTAAATTTGTAAAAAGCACTGCCAGAACACAGGTGTGGGGGAAAGCATTAAGGGTAATTGTGTATGGTAAATGGTATATTTGATCCAAATCCAGACATCGAGACGCTTTGTGGTAACAGTTAATTATGCCATTCTGTTGTTACAGCTTCTTGACTTACTTACACAGTGAGTAATAATTATTAAAAACAATTGCTCACTTCCATTTTCAGACACAAAATAAATAGCTCTTTTAAACCACTTCTTGTAGAAAGTGGTATCTGAGTTCTGGTCTGCAATGTCATATCTAATAAACAATAGAAAGATACAGTACATTTAGCATACCGTACCTAATGTAATGTAAAGTAATTCTACTGGTATTTTTTGACCATAAAAATATTCAAAACTCAAAAATGTAGATTAATACTAATAGAGGTTTAAGAAACTAAAGGCTCTATAAACATGAACTTGAATGTAGTGAAAATATAGTAATTAATGATTATGATTGATTGGTTTGTATTTGTCACTTATCTTTCTTTGCAAATATTTAAATGGACAGACGTAAATAAAATAATTTTTATTTGACAAATTCCCATTTTGATAACACTAATTAATAAATAAAAACCTGTAGTAGCATTCGTAAATCACTTATTAATGCAGTTGTTTGTCACTGGCGTTTTATTCATCATTTTTTCATTGATTTCTATTCCACGCCCCTCCAAAAGTTACTGGTTCCTCTAGTCGCTTGCCGCCACCCCACCTCCCACCCCAAAATCATGGTCAAGTAGTTAAAAATCACCTTATTTTGCAAGTTAGCACTTCTCAACTGATCATTGAGGCCCCCTTCCAATCAGCACCCCCATTTTAAGACTTCTAGATATGCCACTGGAGGGTTTGAAGTCTTAGTGGGAATGTGCATTTTCCTCAGATGTTTATTATAATCTTTGTAGATCTTTCATAGCACATTTACAACTCCTACTGTGATTTGTGAAATAAATCATACAGACACTAACAAAAGCACAGTAGCCATTTTACCATTAAGCATAAATCAAAGTGTAATTTGCATCTGGATTATTAATTGCCATTCGTACAATAATTCAAATTATGAATATCGAAAGTCTTTGATACCATTAATATTCATTAAAAATCATGATATTATAATCAAATTTTAAGATTTTATCCAAACTTGTTATTAGGCAAAACAAGACAAATGTGACATTCTATTAAGTCTAGGCATTCATCATTCTCCAAATTGTAGGCTTCAGTTAAAATTCTGTCGACCTTACAGTAAAGTTTCCAGAATTTGCGAAAAGGGAGGAACTCACACTGGTAAAACATGGTGAAACCCACAACCGAACCCTTAGCCTACAGTACTAAAGATAGGAGGCCTAATTCATTGATGACACTGTCGCTGTCATGTGCAGCGGAGTGTTGACGCCAATATTACAGCCTTCAGCTGTGTGTGTGTGTTGTCAGATCACTGACTGTCCTTCTCAATGCTGAATCATTAAATTGGCCAAATAAAACTGAACTTTTTCAAATTTCTTGAGAGAGTTTGAGGTGAAATTCATAATAAATTCTGGTGACAGATCTTAGATGAGAGCTTGAGTGGGTGTTTGCGTGGGTGATTATGAGAACTATGAAAATTAATTTAAATCAATAATGTAAATTTTTAAGGTATTTAATTATTGTGATGATTCACCTACTTTTCAAATACTTTTGGCAAGGTATTATTAAGTACAGAAAACACTTACTCTTTCTATAAAAATCTATCAAATAATATAATCATTTTTTTTTTTAATGAAACTAAATTAAAAGAATAATTGAAAAATTACTACACTGTACCAACAAATCCAACTTGTAAAAATTAATAAAAAAATAATGTAAAAGCATTTCAAGGAATGTTAAAAAAGATATACTGTAGATTATACCTATAACTTAGACATTATAATGTTTTCATTCTCAAAAATGTTTTAAACATTTAACATAATTTTTTATGAATTTATAAATTATATGAGAACGGAAATTAACATTTTTTTCTCTTTTTCTTTGAGGTTGGTAATCTTTGCCACTGTAGTTGATACTTTCTAAGCTAAGCTCACATTTCAAATACCTCATTTCTTTAGAATGCAAATATCTTCTTTGATCCTACAATCCCATTCAGAGTTCATGCCAGTCCACATCAGTTTCTATTTTCATACATTATGTTTTACAAGCAGACCAAACTGTGTAATGCCATTGGCATGTGGCCAAATTTATTTCTTTTTCAATTTTCTCAGCATAATTAGATTATACTACTATTCTAAAGCTTTAAGCAAATGTACACCAGCCACTGACCACATCCACTGACCACTGCTACTGGCTTCATTCTGATAACATTTATTGTCCGTGCTTGTTCAAGTTTTTGAAAAATAATAGCAAAAATTTACATTATAATTTCACATCTACGTCACAAAATTATAAATGTTTATTACTGTAGAACACTATGGAAATTTAGAATAACAATTTTTTCATGATTTCTTCGTATTGCTTCAATATTTTAGGGTCAAAGGGCATTCTAGTATTCTCTTAAAAAATGTGGTAACATACATCATGAATCAGCACTCTTATATTTTTATGAATAACACATTGCATACATTAAAGTTTAATGGTCAGCAAGGAAACATGTACCTCATCACGGCGAATTAAGGTTGGCGATCTCAGGATGTTTATCACTTAACAAAAAGGATGAATATTGGCGGGTTCAACATTACTTTATTTAAGCTGTTGAAGGAGTCCCCTTTATAGTTTACAGTAATTCAATATAAATGTCAGTCAGCAAAACAATAATTTCAGTAATAAAAACAACTTCTGTACCAATAATTAACTCATTTCCTTTTCTTGAGGGTTCATTTTTAAACTGATGAAAAGACAATAATTAACCGTAATGGTAACCAGGTGGGATTTACATGGTACTACAGGTATAGTAAGAATACCTGATCTATGAAGAGCTGGAATTGACAAGATAATCACTCTTTCATTCATCACTCATCAGCATTGTCTTTTGCAAATTGACCCCAAACTCTTCCATTTAAAGTCTATTAGTAATTGACTGCAGTTATGTCAATTTGCAAAAGTGTAAAATAACTTGTTCAATTTGTACCATATGTAACAAGGTTGCAAGACAATCAGTGGAGAAGAAAAAGAGGGGTGACCAAATAAGAAGGGGAAAGACAACCTAAACGCAAAAACTCCAAACAAGATGCCTGTAGCCAAGAACAGAAACAGCTGATGTAATTTTTGAGACTAAAACTCTAAAACATCAAATCAGGTAGAGGATTCAATACCCTCACTGTGGAAGTCGCTTGTGTCCTTGGGCAAAGCACTTCATCTATGTTTGTCTCTCTCCATCTAAGAGTTTAAGTGGGTAACTAGAGGATCTAATATAACTAAGCACTGATTTTAGCTGCTTATAAGGAAGAGTAGTAGGCACAGAGAGGGAAAAGGGGTAATGAAAGTTACTGGTAATAATTGCGATAGCAAAATTTACTTTAAGTATTGACATCTATTACTTACCAAACTAGGTCCGAGCGATGGCGCTGACTGTCCAAGCATTTGCCGTACCCTCAGCAAGTTTGACGAGTCCCCTAAAATCAAGGCATTTGTCGTACTGTTTTGAAAATTTGCATTTACGTTCACGCCATGACCGAGAGTGGTTCCCATCCCTAGGCTTCCGCGACGGGCACATTTTGTCTCATCCACTGATAATGGACGTCCAAGACGAAGATTCCTGGGAATGGAGTTTGCTAGGCCGGAAGTAAGGTGCTTTGTTTGGGCTTCGACTGCATGTAGCTCATCGTCAAAGTCAGACTACGGAAAAAATGTATTAAAACCAGTTTATGAACAATTTCTACATTGTAGGGAAATTATTTGTTATGTTGAACCAATTAGTTGTTTACCTAGCAACTGTTAATTTTCCGTCCTACTACAGAACTTATGGAACCAGATGAAATTCTTTTAGAATTTATACATTTTGAAATATGAATGGTATCATGAATGAGGTTATAATCACAAAAAAACTTTTAACTACTTTCTAAAGCCACTTTTGTTTTAGAAAAAAAAAGTTAGAAGCAAATTAGGATAATTAAAGGAAGTATCTCATTCAGAATTTGAACATTTCAAATCATCTTCACATGACAAATCAGATAAATTACAATATTAAATTACTGAATAGCTAAACTTATATCAAATTTAATAACTAATCATTTTAGGTTTAGATGAGAGTGTTTTTGCACTTCTTGGCAACATATAATAATACAACAGAAAATGTTCTAATGATATTATGACCAGCAGACAGCGAGAAAATAAATTGAATTTGGAGTTTGGAAACAACACGCAAAACTTCAGGATATGTAGTAGTTGAGTTATATAGACCGTTTTCCTTTGTGCAAATGTTCACAAATTTACTATCATTCCCTAACATTCTGTGTTATGTATTCTGGCATATTAAGGACTGTATGTTACAAAAGTCTACTTGGGACAAGTGTGCATCCTGCCCAAAATAGACTTCTAACATAATCCTTCATATTTTCTTCATTTTTAATCATAAAAACTACACAGTCATGGTTATCACAACAGGTATATAATGTCAGGTTTTTCTTACATTTTCAGTTTATTAAATTTCTCTTTCAAATTTAGTATTATTTTTTTATGATTCAATATATCAAATTTAAAACCTTAAATTTATTTCTTCCTTTATGACTTTCTCCAGATAACTTAAGAGAGTATGTTTCAAGGGAAAAAAAAACTAGCTTAAAAGCCGGCGCTGCGTTCCATTGTTGACACTGACAAGGCCAGAGACTTATCATAATTTAACATATTAGATTTTTGGCAACAGGAAACTGTTAATTGTGGACGTCACACTCAAGATAAAAGTTGAAAAACAATCCATACACCATAATCACAGGATGAACGTCATGTGCACAATGCATATGTGTCGTTCTTTTATTTCCTCACTGAATTTTCCATTCCATTCTTATAGTTACCTGATTTAAGAGGGTATTAAAATCTTAATGTATACCAAGATATCATCAATTCTTTACTGTACGGAGTACAGCGCACAAACTGGTTACAAGATCACAAAGGAAACATGAGAGTTTATACTACCGGTACTATAAGTAATACAAACACTTGTAAAGAAACCTCACAGTTAAAATGCGTATTTATGACTACCGGTAAATAAAACCTCCAAATGGAATTTCCAAAGCTCAACCAGAAAGAAAAATCAGTGTACCTGTAAAATCATCTGTTTATAAAAAATTTAAAAAAAAAACCAGAATTCCAAAATAAGAAAATGTAAAACAAAAATAAACCATGCATTTATATAACATGATACAAACTAAAATATATATTTTTAAAAAGTCATGTTAAATTCATTTGTATAAATACAGATAGTTTTAAAGTAATTATAGTATTATTAAATACATGATAATTTAAAGACTTTTCATTAAAGAGAAAGTGATGACCTCTGCAAAAAAAAAATAACACAGGTGAAAAAGGAAAGAGGAAAAGAGGGGAAGTCAAAATCTGAATTAGGTCACCAGGTAAATGAAATTTCTTTGATGAATAGTGCACAGCTCTCTGACTAGAGTATAACACCAGGTGTAATAGTACTGGCATGGAAATTACAACAGGTGATTATTGTAATTATAAAGTTTAGAAGAAATTTAGAATAATTTCTGTGAAAGTTGATAAAATATGGATAAGAGTACAGTATATATGGTGGTTTAGCTTGGCTTTCAAATACTAGGTCTTACTTATAAATAAATTATTAACAAGACAATTTAGGGGTCGTTCACGTTTAGAGGGGGAGGGGATAGACAAATTTGTAAACCTTTACATGTATATGAAAATGTTGATTCAAAATAATTTAATATTTAAAATAATATTTTGATTACCTATAATGCAATCGTAGATATATGATACACTTTTATGTAACCAAGTACCGTACTTTAGTTGACTTTACAAATTTAATGGAATGGTTTTGCAGACAATTTTTATGTACATTTTCAGAGGGGATGGAGGTGGTACCAAACAAGAGTACTGATGGAACACTTGCGAACATATTGATATTTGTGAACGACCCCTTACAACATGTTAAAGTACTGTAAATTAAATTTTAATTATTGTATGATAGTTTAACATTTTACAGCATCTTATCCTGTATTTTAGTATGTGGCATCCAAAATACATATTACGAACCAAATCAAACAAACATGTTTCCATAATTTTCCTAATGATTTGGTCCAGGATATACCCGACAAAATACCAAAACTGGGATCACTGACATGTTCCTACAGCATGCAAATGTGCATAATACCTGTTGCAGGGCAAGTCCAATATACAGGGGTCAATTAAAAAATCTACCAATGAGGTTGGGGCTGAAACCCACTATGTGCATTTTGCTCAATGTCTTTGGACAAGGTTTTCTCTCTCCGCCCATTAATACAGTATGGCTCCCTGGTACAGTATGTGTGAACTCAATATGCATTATTTACTATTGCAGCAAAATTCTACCCAGGAAGAGCAGCATTTGTTGCATAGTGTTTACAATTATCATAATGTGAAGTGCATGGAGGCATTGTTGGTTGGCATGATGCACTATAAGACTAACAATATATCATTATTGTTTATTATTTAAGAGGCCCTGCTAAACATATTAACTTTGTAAAGTAGATCACCATACTTCTTTAATACTGTATTTATTATATGGTTTTAACAAAATAATAGAAAGTAAGTTGTGTACTGCAACATAAGAAAAGCCCTGGTACCTGTATATTGTAAGGATTGAACCCTGACCCTGGCATTGAAAATACCATAAAGCTATGCTAAAAATGTTACAGAGAACGAACATAATGTCATTACTTTATCATTTTCAAAATAAATTGTAAGATTTTAAGATCATAGGTAAGAATATCCCCACAACAAGATTAAAGTTAAAAATACAGATGTTAATTAAAGTTTACAGTACAGACCTCTCCAACGAAAAAGTCAATCAACGATTCAGTGAATACTTTGAAGCATCCAAGATAGTCCATATCCTTCAGAACACTTGTGAAAAACATATCTCATGAGATCTCATGAATCCAACAATCCACCAAAGAAGAGAAAGAATAATATCTACCATTCACCAGCTAAGGATACACACAAACAAGACAAACTTTTCAAAAGTTCCACACATCATACACTGATGCAGCACAAATACAAACACGACAGCAGACAAGTTCAAGAACTTAAATCACAGCTCAGCATTTGGCAGCTTCAATGAAAACAGGTAGTTGTTTTCACCAGCTGATTATAAAAAGTTGATTCAAAAGAAACTTATTAACTAGTCCCTGTAAACGCAGCAGCTACAATCCAGCATTATTTCATAACAAAGATCACATATTGAGTGTGTGAGTGTTTAGCTGGTAAACCAATCATTAAACTCCACTGATCTCGACATCATTTTTCAAGCACAGTGCTGGACTTTTTTTGGCTGGATGCTAACTGGCTAACAACCGAACTATGACACACAAACTTCTAGCTCAATTTCCACCATACTGATCACATGACCAATTGTAAGGAAGTGAATGCTTCCGTCATTTTTTTTTTCTTAGGACCAGAAGCTGAGGTCAACGATTGACCTCAGCTTATAGACCTTCCTTATCTGTCAATCATAATTAAGATTAATTTTTACTCAAATTATGATATCAATCAAGAATGGCTGTCAAAGTCTGATTCAAAAGTATACACCCATTTTTGAAAGGTTATTCCCTGAAAACAAAATTACTGTATATTTAGAATCTATTTTTCTGGATTTATTCGGTGTAAACACCAAATCTCGGCACTTTAATGACTAACTGTATATAATAATAATAATAATAATAATAATAATAATAATAATAATAATAATAATAATATTTATTATCTCTAGCTTTTGGCCACAGCGGAACTCATCAGGAGATACTGTAATGGTGTTGATGATCTATGTATTAATTGTAACGTGGCGTAACTTCACCTATAGCTTGTCTGAAACCACTGGCAGGAATGTGCTCATTTTCCACACTCTGGGGTTTCTATATGTCACGAACATGATAAGATAAATATAAGTTCAGGGCCAAGTCAGGTCTATCAATCAACACCTCAAATTTACGTACAAGAACTATTCGGCAGAGACACTTACGCAAAATGTTCTATACAAAGAGGTCCTTTAAAAAAATAATGACAGGGTAACTAAAACATCCTGAATGATTGTCTCCTTAGCTTCCCATAACATACTATATGCCTCACCACCTTTTCACACTCATTTAACACCATTCTGGTTTCATAAATGATATAACGTTGATGATAATGATAATGATGATAATGATGATGATGATGATGGTAACAATGATGATATTGATGATGATGTTGATGATGATGGTGACAATGACGATGATTAATGAACATGTGATTATAATAATGTTGATGATTATAAAATAAGTTGATAATCATGATTATTAATTGATATTGATATGATGATTATCAGTGAAAATGACGATGCTTCTGATATAATACAATTCAAATTAATTTGGCTATGTTCAAAACTACATGCTAATGCTATTTCATACATCTATTTTTGATGCCTTAATAAAGAATAAAGATAAGGTATATTGAATTTAATATTAACAATATACAAGATAATGAAGAAAATACAAAATTATTAAATTTCAGTACCATGTTGAAATAACAATATTAGAGTGATTCATAATATAATTAATGACAGTTAAAAAAATAAAATAATCAAGATTTATTATCGAGATTCACATTAATAATAAGTGAGAATACATTCAGAAATCAGTCTTCATCAGTACCATTAGCACTAGTGAAACAAGCTTATCATAACCAGGATCATAACATACGACACAAAAACCAATCCTATCTAGATATATGTGAACAATACATGTAGTACACAAGTAGACAACAGATATTATGATACAAAACCTATTTCTGGTGACTACAAGATGCTTCAAGATGCTAGGGTAATGTATCAGACATAGTGCTTGAGGTATGGGTACTCTGTACATAGAGACACACTGTACAATTAATACATAGACACAGAGGTTCTGCATCTACTGTACTCCAGATGCAGGAATAATATCTCCAGTCATATGAGTATATGTTTTAGATGCATGGAGTAAACAATAAATAACATAAATAATGTAATAAGAAATAATCCCATGAAAGAAAAAATATATATAAAGCAAGATAATTAAACTGAATAACATAATATATGATAAAGGAAAAAAATGATAAAATGATTTGAACAGATAATGAATATTAAACAGATTTTTCAGGGGAGGGGATTGGTTACTTACCACTATCCGTAACTGATGAGGCATTTGAGCCCGAGGACGACGGGCATGCAGAGGCCTCATGATAACTGGATTCATGGCGCCAGTCGAGGATGCCCTTCTGACTGTCAGGCTTGACTACCGGTAAGTAGACAGGAATAAAGAGCACCAAAACATTAAAACCAGGAAGTACATTATGCTTGGTAATAACGCGCCAAGTTAATACTAGCCTACTTTTTCCATACTCTTAATGTAGTCATTGTTATATATAGAAATGGTTCAGAGCTATTCAAATAGACAAATATTTATTATTAGGAATGTGGCACCAGGCATATAGCAAAATACTATTTCTACTATAGTACATTTTCCTCTACATCCTCGCCCTCTAAAAAGAAAAAAAAAATGGAAAATAAATAATTTTTACCAAATCTTAGCAATATCAAATTTAAATTTACTAATACACTATTAGATGTGGCATAAAATTGTACTAAAATATTAATTTTACTGAACATCCCAAAGAAGTGAAAATAAATGTGATTATATTTATCATTTTAAAATTAATAAATTTTGTTTATCAATTCATAGGAGTGTGAAGATTTAAACATAAATTAGTAGAAATTTAGGATCATATTTTTGTTTTACTGGATATCAGGTATTTTAGAAAGCTTTCGAAATAATTCAATCATTGAATTCACAAAAAATATTTTAACAAGGTACTTATTATTATATTGTCCCTCACTTACAGTACAACATACGCCCCCAGGAAAATCAGAGTCGACGGAATAAACTAGAGTTTGTGAACAGTGCCAACTATGGATCAAGACACGGATGATTCAAAATCCCCAGGTTCATGAGAACAGCTGGCATGCCTTCGTCAAATGCAACTCAAAAACCTCAAGGCTCCAACGACACTGTTCTACTGGAGCGTTCAAATCACGAGCCTGGCACAGAATGGTCCAAAACTGATGACGATAAACACCAACTCAAGAGTAGAAACTATAAAATCAATATCAAATTGACACAGACAGGCTTAACTTGTCGTCATGATAGACTATAGCGTTGTAAAAATACCACTTTTTATAAATTGTGGTATACTTCTTAAACCCAACTTGTCAAACAATTGAACATGAATACTGGCAGTAACTAAAAATTCCCTCTTCAAATCAGGTTACCAGATTCAAATATTTCAGTATCGAGTATGTGCATAAATACATTATGTTGAGGTGACGCTTATCGATGCATCACTTTTTCACGCCAAATGAACAAACAAAAATAGCTGAGACTTTTAATGAGGAGCTTGTTTATAACTCAGCGAAGAATGTCAACTTGGACAGATAATCAGAAGGATATTAGTTCCATTAACAAACCACTGGAGAAAAATTAGCATGATTTGTAGATTATTAAGAGCAACTGAAGAGTTCTTCAAACCGAGGTTCACACTACACTACACCAAACCACACCTGAGTGCCAGACTTCAAAGAAAAAATGTGAATTTTAATTTCCAATGCTCTTCTGGGAGATACCAACTCTAAATGTTCACATTATCAAATCTTTCTGTACTATGAACTTTAACTACATGACAAAGCAATAGAGTGCAATGAAGTGTTGTGGGGATCAAAGGGTTAATCTCATATTATTTAGACAGCAAACAATATAATTTAGATAGCAAACACCTTCTACAATTCCTTATGGTGTTACACTACAGTTGAAACTAAATGTGGCTTCTGTTAACTACAAATAATTTGAAAATTTACTAATCTAAATATATTTATCATATGTTTAAATTAAAGATTGTTTATTACTAATATTAGTGACTTTTATCTTTGTATATTAAGTTGCTGACTGGAAAATTATGATGAATGTCATATATTTAGTGTTTTAGATGTTGCATGTTTTGTCATTTGTAAAAATTAGAAAGTGTGAAGTTATTTGTTTCAGCTAATTATATATATATATAAAATGTTTTTCATGTTTGGCACCCAAAAACTCATTTTTTTTTTTACAGCACCTGTACATATTTGATCATCTTTAGGAACTTCAAATACATACTAAGCTTTACAAAAATCTAACTTACCGAAATTTTTTTTTATTTGATCATATATCAATAACATAAAGTATCTCTAATTCCCAGAATTTTTGAAACCTCTCTTAATGATAGCTGAGATTCACCAAACTGACAAGCTGTCCGACATTTAGAAAATAGTAAAAATCACGATCGAATTATCACCTTAACAGGATATCAACAAATCCAAGTCTTGAGTTAAAACAGCTTTTCAAGCAGTGACAAGTTATCAATTCTGATAAAAATATATTTCAGATTTCATCTGAGGATTTCTAGTAAGATGTGTGTGTAATTGGTTAAAGTAGAACGCAAGTCAGACCGATCATTAAACCTGAATACTGTAAACACACCAAAAACCAACTGATAGAAACTAATTTCATTCTTCTTCACTCCTGCTAAAGATGCTACAGTGCATTGCGTCAGATTACACAAGCAAAAAAAAAAACTGCTTTTAATTTGACGAAATCAGTTCAGACTAAAATTGATAATCTGAAGTAAATTAAGATGCTGTTGTGGAAAATAAAAAAAAAAATGCAATTAAAACATTGAATTACAGTATTAAAAAACAAAAAGATCATGTAGTAACCTTTAAGATGAGACATAGATCAAAACAATACATTTCCACAGTTTACAGATATTTAATACACAAACACAATCTTAAATTGATTACCAATCAATTTAAAGATCGTATTACTTAATGCCTTTATTAAAATTGGTGAGTAAAAAGCTTGGACTGAAGTCACCTATATTTTTCATAACTTCCAAAAGAGTTACCAAACATACTTTTTTCTATGATCTACTTCCCAACAAAGACCACTCCCTACTTCCTATTTACCATAAAATAACCTTAAACACTAATTATATTACAATTTATAAACCAAGAACATGATACTGAACTAATGATGCTCTATCCACCATGTAACAACATAGAAAATCTACTACAATGAAGAATTCATTCTAAAATTTGTATTTATGTGGTAATTTAACATTACTACAGATATAGAATACCTACATCAACTTAAAACCTACACAAACTGCCAGAGTATATATGACAAAGCAAACAGCTAATACTTATAATACCAGTCCTATGGTAAACACATTTAACTGTTCATTTTTGAATAAACATTAAGACTCAATGGCAGTCAATGACCAGAGAAGAGCACCATCTACAGTATGTCCTACCTCTCGAAGCTCCATCGGTGTTACGCATCATTAAACCACACCACACGGCGTATTAATTATGCATACTATACTCGCCTTCTTCAAAGAATGAACTAACCGTGAGTTGAGTACACATTAGAGAACCTGAAATTCTCTAGATGGTTGCAAATGTTGACATGCCCATAACTCCCATGACTGTCAAAATGCTTATTGATGGTTATGTGCGCATTGCTGACGAGCACCAAGATGTTAAAACATTTATCATGTTATCAAGTACGCATTAAATCTTAAAGTACACCTATCAATAAAGTGAGTTAATTGTTCAACAAATTCTCACCAGCTTGATATTTGCAGTAGACAATGTTTTATTTACCACACATTCCGCTAATGCAAATATTTTAATATCAATGACCATTAGTGGAAAGGAGGACACTATGACAAAGTATGTACCGCTTTTTTCTAAGGGCCTGTTATGTTAAAAAATTAACATGTTTTCGACATCTCAAGTTATCCAATGCCCACACAAATTGTCTGCATATGCATTTTACATGTGGTATACAAAGTATAATCTGAACTGGACAAGTATGTGTAATCTGTTTGAATTGGATTAAGACATATTTCACCTTTTAAAATAATAAAAGTCGAGAAACTATATTGTGCCTGTTAGAAAAAATATTATTTATCAATGGGCTAAATATATATTAAAACAACTACTGAATTATAATAGTAATTAATAGTAATACATAATAAAAGTATTTGATTAATAGTAATACATAATAAAAGTATTTGAATGAAGATACAGTACCTGCCTCAAAAAATATGTGCACTAATACAGTTAGTACTTTTTTCCACATTAATCTAATAATACAAATAATGAATATTTATGAGTGCAATAATGGATGTCTTTGCTACATTTTGTGTCTGCCCATAAAAATATTTTAGTAAAAATAGACCCCATTTCTTTGGCTTTTTCTTCCTTTTTTCTTTGTGTATTTGTAAATTAAATTGTATTAAAATATACTAAGATTATTGCAATTTTTTAGCAGGATATATTACCCAGATTGCCTCCACTTACAGGGTGAAATCATCAAAAGTGGTAAAAAGCAATTTGTACTACCACTGTAGACCTACATTTTATTAATTTTAAAAGTCTTTGATATATGAATTAGCTAATTTAATAATAATACAGCTGTTCGCTGACAATTCCAGTTCCTAAACAGATATGGAAAAAAATTTTAATATTTTTTCATGTTATGTTTAACAAGCTGATAAAATGTCTAGGTTTGTGCAATGAAAATTTCACTGCCGATGCCAAATAGACCAATGGATCAGTATCTCTAATCTCTGAGCTGTGCTTTGCTTAATGGTGAACTTTAAAAAAAAGTTGAGGGGGCTATTCATGCTAAAGGCTTTGATGTTAACTAACTGCCTCAACAGCCTTGAGTGAAAGAGCCACTGTAGAAAAAAAAACTTTACATAAGTACACAACACACTGATTGCCTATGAAAAGTATTGTAAATCAATTTCATGCCTTAAGTATTAATTACACAGACCAGGAAATATGCAATAGTTATATGATGTGTGTTGATTAACAGTTAAAGACAAGGTGTGACTTCCAAGCAGGAGTGAACTCTATTCTGATATCATTATTTCCACTCAATGATTCACAACATATTTTCCACAACTGGAAACAACACAAGTAAATATTTTCCCCACACAAATTTACTGATATAAATCTATAGATTGCAGTTCATTTATGAAAGGGTAGTCTCTTATACACATCTAGATGTGTATAAGAGACAGCTCCCATGACTGTCAAAATGCTTATTGATGGTTATGTGCGCATTGCTGACGAGCACCAAGATGTTAAAACATTTATCATGTTATCAAGTACGCATTAAATCTTAAAGTACACCTATCAATAAAGTGAGTTAATTGTTCAACAAATTCTCACCAGCTTGATATTTGCAGTTATATTACCCAGATTGCCTCCACTTACAGGGTGAAATCATCAAAAGTGGTAAAAAGCAATTTGTACTACCACTGTAGACCTACATTTTATTAATTTTAAAAGTCTTGATATATGAATTAGCTAATTTAATAATAATACAGCTGTTCGCTGATAATTCTAGTTCCTAAACAGATATGGAAAAAAATTTTAATATTTTTTCATGTTATGTTTAACAAGCTGATAAAATGTCTAGGTTTATGCAATGAAAATTTCACTGCCGATGCCAAATAGACCAATGGATCAGTATCTCTAATCTCTGGGCTGTGCTTTGCTGAATGGTGAACTTTGAAAAAAGTTGAGGGGGCTATACATGCTAAAGGCTTTGATGCTAACTAAACTGCCTCAACCGCCTTCAGTGAAAGAGCCACTGTAGAAAAAAACTTTACATAAGTACACAACACACTGATTGCCTATGAAAAGTATTGTAAATCAATTTCATGCCTTAAGTATTAATTACACAGACCAGGAAATATGCAATAGTTATATGATGTGTGTTGATTAACAGTTAAAGACAAGGTGTGACTTCCAAGCAGGAGTGAACTCTATTCTGATATCATTATTTCCACTCAATGATTCACAACATATTTTCCACAACTGGAAACAAAACAAGTAAATATTTTCCCCACACAAATTTACTGATATAAATCTATAGATTGCAGTTCATTTATGAAAGGGTAAGTTCATTTATGAAAGGGTATTACTCCACTGGAAATAATGTACAAGGTGAGATTAAATGAAGTTGAACATGAGTTTAACTGACAATGAAGTCGGCAAGGTCCATCTATAGTATGTACATCAATATCTGTGTTGTGTGACAATGAATCAACCAAGGTCCAACACATTACAATTCAGGCTAATGCACAAACAAGTTAGAGTTGCTGGTCTTATCTATAGCACCTCCTCATTACTATACTGAAGAAGTTCTCCATCATAGATAGAAATGTTTCAAAAATAATCAACTAGTGAAGACATTACGTAAATGAGCCTATATATACTCGACAAACCAAACTGAAGAGCTGAGGATGTTTCAATTTTAATAGGGAATAGTAAATTATGATAAACATGGGTAAAGCAGACTGGGAATATAAAAGGTAATATCAAAGTAAAAAAATAATCAAGATAACATCTCACTCACCAATATAAAATCTAGAATTTTACTGTTTAAAGAACATTGTGTGCAGATTAAAAGGAATATACTGTAAGACTCATCAAGACAGACTAATAAAAACAGAAGAGCTTAAATAGTTAATATTTCCAAAAGGCTGAAGAACGATAAATAGCTCCAAAAATTGATCATGAGGTCAGTTCAAAGGGACACTTCAAACATCTTTATCTTCAAGTTTGACAAATTACAGTACAAACAAGACATGTTTTATACCTTCCTTCGTTAACCTGCCACTCACCGAAAACAATTAGTTAGATTAAAATATACTTTTTATTTTTGGCCTGTTAACATACCTACTGCTGTGAAAAATAGGAAATAATATAATTTCTTATTTTTATTTATTCCATCAGCTGCCATCCTATTTCTCTTCAAAACTTAAAAAATATAAAGCATTTTTCTGACTATTATATCGCCACATTTCTTTTCTCCTCCATATAGATGAGTTTGGTAGGCCATTTTTCAAAAATAAATTAGTAAAATTTATTTTTTTACTACCTCTTCTCTGAAGATTTTTAAAAACTAAACTTCACTAAACTAGGTGCTGTATATGTAAAAAAGTCTTGCCACAACATAATAATTCACTGTTCTGTTCAGTAAGTTTTTCTATAAGTAAAAAATCGATTCTGTGAAAACCGACAAATAATGAATAAGCGTCTCATCAATAAAGATTATAAACCAAAAAAAAAAATCAAATATAGTCCCTTACAAGGGATTAAAATGTTGTAAGCTTTCCACCAAGGCCATAAAACTCTCGTTTCAAATTTTCATACATTCAAAAGCTTATCAGAAAAATTATGCAGTAGTTAGAATGTTTAATGATTTATTGCTTTACTACTGTAAATAATACATTTTTATATTGTTAATTCTGGTATAGGTATAAATGTTCTATGTCAGTGTCATTTATTTTATGCTTTTAAATTTATTTTTTTTAAAGTTAAAAAAAACAAACCACAAGCTCCTCAAGTTGAAAGAGTTATAGTGTACTTAACCTTCCGACTTTCTCCTCATCTTCTGGTTTATAATCTGTAATTTGTTTTAAAAATAAATTTTATAGCTACAGTAAGGGCCTGTTTCTGCTGAAGAACGCCAAATAAAAACGGTTCGGAAAACTGTTCATAAACAAAAACTAGGTTGTAACCAATATTGCGACTACAAGAAAACGTTTTTCTAAATGTGTGGTCATTGTTGCGATGACGTCATTTTATCCAATTCACATATAATCTGTTGTACTTAATTTCCATTTGAAGATTAAATTGATGTGTGTGGTTCTTTAAATAAATTTTAAAAAGCAAACAAAAATTCCCATTGGACTGCCCCAACCCAAACAGTAGCTTGTTACTTCGCCACGACAATCGGCGGGTGTGCTGGTAGGTACAGTAGTTTGTAGTATTCTCCCTGCTGCAGTGCTAGGTTATTTACAACATTACAATGGCAACAAGGCTATACGAAACATTGGCAACAGTGATAGGAATGCTGCCTTCCATCACGTAGGGAGGATCATACATGTCACGATCCCCCAGAATATTATCTAACATGTCATAATATGGACAAGTTATTCTGTCGCTACCAGACCTACTATTATGGTCCTAGCCAATGTGTAGGCCCATCGCAACTGCTTCAATTTATTGGTGACTTGCACTGATGTCAGTTTAACGATCTCCCTGGTTTAACTCCACATTCTTCTTGTACTTTCTTCACGATGTTCTTGTATACGTGGTTATCTCTTTTGCTGCCCTTGAGCCTGCCTCCCACCTTTCCCACTCCCCACAAATTTATCACAAATTTGGTAATATTATAATTTTCTACAGTATGTATTACTTCGTGCGAATCTCTGCAAGTTGTGTTGATTGTGGTTCGTGCTTCGACATTTGACACCTCGAGATCAAATCGCTACTGCTATTCGGTTGCAGCTAAAAACCACTCCTCAAAAAAACAGTTTTCCCCATAAAAAAATTGTTTTTCTTTCGCA